TGCCAATGGTGTAGTGGCCACGGGCATAGTTATTTGCTGCATCTTCCTTTCCAGTGATCAGTTGTTCTGGATGAAAAAGTTCCCGGAAGGTCCCAGCCCGCACTTCATCTGAACAAGAAAGAGAAATTGTAAGAAGCTGTGTGGCTGCACTCCAGTGCCAACAAGGTCTGGCTGATGTTGGCATTGATGAAAGCTTTCAGTCATGAGAGGTCATGACCCAAAAAACCAGATGCTAATGGGGAAGGGAAATGTCTCCTAAACATTTTTTCACTGTTGTGTTCTGTTGATTTATGGTGTGACCTGTCCAGCCACACAAGTTGTTATCTTCTCATGAACTTGTCAGTTGTACAGTCTGTACCCACAGGAGGACAAGTCACCAGAAAAAAAGTGTGAAGGAAATCAGGTCCCCCAGGGTGTCCCAGTTTTTAGACATCTTTCTATTCGTGGAAGGGGGAACTGTCAGGCTCCCACTCCGAATCTGGATCAAAAAAAAGCAGAATTCAAATGGCAAAAATGTCACAATAAACAAAACCAAAAGTTAAGTGTTTGTGTAAAGAGAAGTCATACAAACCATGTGCACTAGCTGTTAAACTGCTGGGGATCCTGCTGATCCTATGTTTATAAGACCCGTGACAGAATCTGGCGTTCTGTGTCACAAGAAAATTTATTTCGTGCTTGGTAGACCAAGATACAAAGGGAGTGCTGCTTTGTACCAGTGGAGACTGGTGGCACACTGTGGTGATATTAGAAAGAGTAAGCTCTTCTCCCTTTCACAGGTTTATGTCTATACTGACCTACTACGCTTGGTTCCAAGTCCACCATTACAGCCCGTGGCACATGCTTCCCAGTGCCTGTTTCATTGAAAAACGTGGTAAAAGAATCATCATTGTTGAGTTTATCCTGCACATCCTTGAAGGTGCCATCTGGCTGAATGCCATGCTCCAGGCAGAAGAGTTCCCAGCACGCATTTCCTATCTGGACTCCAGCCTGGCCAACATGAATAGAGATGCACTCACGCTAAGAGGAGAGAGCAGAGAGAGACAGAGTCAGAAAAACCAGTGCACATTAATCCTCCTTATTCTTAGTGGTTACATTTTCCCAGTGTATTGCTTTTCCAACAAAAAAAAAGTGAATTGTCACCGTCAGCATTTCATTTGGTGTTCAACCTCATGCCCGCAGTGAGACTGTACATATACACCCCAGATGCTGGGACAGCTCTTTATAATATTGAAATCTACGTGCTGTCATATATGGGTGCATGAAAATAGGCAGGAATAAAACATAATTTCTTCTACACAAACCCCACCTTTCCTCCTATGGATTTGCCCTGCTGAGGAGCACATCCCAGTTCAGTTTATTTTTACTCCTGGATGGAACCTGACACAGCCATGTGGTATCCTTCAAACTAATGTAACCCAAGACAGGTGCTGTGTTTTGACCCTTTTACCCTCTGACAGCAGGCTGGAGTAGAAACTTGGCAGAACTGCTTTAAGAACATTTCACCTGAGGAAATTATTTCAGATTCTCTCTGTTGAAACATATGTTCCTTTAAGCTCCTGAACAGCTGTTGAATTTTACATTGCAGGCAGTGCCATTGCAATGAGTATGTTTATTTGCATAATTTTGAGCATGGTTTCTGTAGTAGCCAGGAACTTTAATGGAAAGAAACCAATGTATTTAACACCAGGCTAAAACAGGCAGGTGCCAGTTGCTCCAAAACCCTTTATACTGTGGAGCACTGAAGTATGAAAACGCTGGTGCTGGTTTTCATACATTCAGGAGCAGAATTATAAAGCTCATACTTCTGAGTTAGTCCTGATGATTATGACACTGGGTGCAGTGAAGGGCAGTTTTTTAACAAGAGAGAGGTTTCAGATACGTGGAGTTTTTCAGCTTCAGTTTCTGCTTTGGAGCAATTCTAATTAAAGTCTTCTGAGCTTTGCCTTTGTGATCTCAGTGGCCCTGTCTATACTAAGGAGTAAAAAAGAGTCAGGTGATAGTACTGAGCACCGGCCTATGATCATCTGTGTGACTGGTAATTAGCACACTCTCTGGCACAGCTTTGACAGTGTTTTCTTCACAACTTGCCAAATATTTGTTTTAGAAATGTAACTAAAGATATTTTTTTAGAAGCAAGTGGAATTTCAGAAGTCAGCACTGCCCCAGTTAGTCATCCTCCGACGTTCAAATGAATATGGAAGGTCAACTTAAATATTTCATTCAATTAAATACTGATTTCTATTCAGTATTTATTTGTAAGTTGCTCACTCTGCAAATGCGAATGTAGTGGTGTGTGTGATGTGCTCTCAAGCGTACTTGCACAACCCTGTTTTTCTCAACTGAGTTGTGCAAAGTATCTGAGTTAAATCTGAGTGACGAGGCTTCATAGGCCAGTATGTTGCAGGGGAGCTGCAATCTGGAGGATTACTCAGAAGACACTGAAGGCATTTTTGGGCTTTGAGAATTCAATTAATGCTGATTTTGCACAGGACAGGCTCCTGCTTTTCTTTTAAATCCCAGCATGAATCTATGAGGCTGGCAGTAAGAACAAAAATTAGTTTTAAACTCGGCAGTGAGGCCAGCTGACTGTTTTAATGGATGTCTTTAAAAGACCAAAACTACAAGTCAAGCAATACTTTGAACCCAAACAGCTACTTTTCTCTATTCCTCAGATCAGTAGAGAAATTTGTCTGTTTTTTCACAGGTAGAACAAGTGAATGTTGTCTTAGAAAGTTAATATTGTAAAGACCAGTATAGAGCTACAGCTGAAGATTGCAGAACCAGTTCTTTTCCTTTTAGACTGAGCTTCCCACGGTGCTAGTTTGAAGCAATATCTCATCCCAGCCTTTTGGGCCAGGCCTCTTGCCATGCTCCTGCCCAGCAGTAATTTGGAAATATTCTGACAAGGAGAGAAGAAAGTAACAAAGATGTTTCTCATTTTGCATAGTAAACAGCTTTAAAATAGACTTCTAGTAGGGAAGAAATGAGCCTTTTTCAGAGTCACAGCAGAGTAAACTGATCTCTACATGATATTTAAATTTGGAGCCTACTCTGAACTCATGTTTCACATCCCAACACTAATGTACCAGGATCTGTCTTAGAAATTGTGGACCTGACTTTTTAGCTACCAAGAGACTGTAGAAAGAACCAGGTCCTTTGTGAAACTAAACCTGGGACAGCTTTGACTTTATTAAATAACCCCAGAATACTACCTGTCTTTATTACTTATGGTACAAAGGCAGACTTCAGTCTTCCAACTATTCCCAAAACACAGTCACTACCCTAGGTCTGCTTTAAGGCATGGGGAGCCTGTGGATGTGTGTATCTTGCCTGAGAAATGAGTGCTCTCATTTTGGACCCGCAGCTGTACTGGCAGAAATGACAGCTATTTGGGCTAAATTAGCTTAAAACAGACACAAAGGTAAGTAACTTTTTTTGTTTATTTCTAAAAAAATTATTATCTCATATGAAAATGAACCTGTATTGATAAAATATAGTCATAGAATCATAGAATCACAGAATGGTTTGGGTTGGAAGGGACCTTAAAGATCATCTAGTTGCAAGCCCCCTGCCACAGGCAGGGACCCCTTCCCCTAGACCAGGTTACTCAAAGCCCCGTCCAACAGAAAGTACCAAAAAGCTAGGACTCCAAATCTAATTTGTCTTATAATTCCACTAATTAGAAACTCTCTGAAGCAAGCTTTGGTTCACCATGCCTTACAGCTCCAGTGAGATTCTCTAACACTCCTTTCCTATCCTCTTACGTTGTAACCGGTGCATGAGTTTTATGGCACACACCACTGGTAAGAACAGCAGATCCCCCTGCCTTCCTTTGCCCTCTGTCCTCCTGGTCCCTGTATGACTGCTGTTCCCACATCCCCCTTACCATGGTGTCGCCAGTGGTGTTTCCTTCCCTTTCAGATCAGTGGTGGCCGGTCCTTGCAGGAGTCCAGCTCTGGGCTGCAGGAAGGAGGCAGCCTTGGCCCAGCACCCGGCACCTGCTGCCGTGCTTCAGTGTCACAGTGCAGTGCGGAATAGGTCACCCGCTGCACCACTGCCTCCTGCCCTCCCTGCCACCCCACGTGTGCAGAGTCATCCAGACAGGCAGGGCTCACATACAGCCCGCATTTCAAATTCAGTCCCACCTGGTTCCATGTGCTTTTTGAATCTGAGTGTGGCCATATAACACATGGCATACTATACTTTCTAACACCTGAGTATCACCTACAAGACACATACCATCCCAGTTCCCTGTTCCGACACTATGTACATGTGTAGATGAAAATCACTCTGAAATTCCAATACAGGAGACTAAGAAGGCATAAGAGAGCAAATGAATGGAAAAGAGAAGGCTAGAAGAATAAAACCCCAAACAGAAAACCAAAAAGTAAATATAATTACCATTCTGAAGTGTGCTCTACTACTGTGCTCTTAAATGCTGGCCTGACTCCTTTCTCTCCTTACTCCCGCTGCCTTTCTATTAATGTTTCAGTTTACTTGTATTGCTTCTCTTTCGGTGTACAGTCATCTGGGGTGTCAGCAGTATGAGACAGCATTCAGTACAGACTCCAGCTCGTCTGTCCAAACACAGAAAGAAACTCGATGCTTATTGCAGTGCGTATTGCAAGACATAGCTGGAGGCATCACACAAATGTTCTCACACCAAATTAGGGCAGTTGCCTCCTCCACTTTATTGTTCGCTGCTTCTGCACTACTTCAGCATTGGAAAACAGCTTTTCTCACTGGAGACATTCTCAGGTTTGCAACTCCTAGGTAACAAAGAGGAAGGGGAGCGCACTTAATTGCTTGAATCTGAGTATTATGTATCCCCTGACTTTATAAACATACTGTTCATTATGATGTTTAATCAGTAGGAATTCAAATACACAATTCCTAAAATTTAAGTTAGTCTACTTGGACATGAAGATATCTAGAGACTTTTCTGCTGCTGTTGGCAACCAGCATCTAAGTATCTTCTCTAACTAATGCCTACATTTTAACAGTGTGAAGTAGTTCATGCCGCTTTTTATAAACTCACATTTACCTTGGTATAGTCTTTATTTTGCTGATCTTTACATAAACCTGCAAATCACTCCTCTTCGATTTTGGGAAAAGCTACAGAGATTTCTGGAGCCACAAATATTTTTTACAGAGAAAGAATTCCCGTGATAATTTCTATCTGCTGATTGTTAAAGCTGGATCCCACAGTTCTCTGGAAAATTATTGGATCATTGCTTTGCAACTAAGGAACAGGTTATTCTAGTCTTCTTCTTCCAATGGAGCTGGTAACCCTGAGGAAAACTTGGGCATACTGTTTTTCATGAGGTTTCCTTATGTTGCTCTGTCTACCTGTGTTGGGGAGTGCTTGGGCAGAAAATCCTCAGCGGAGATTTAGAGGGTAACCTGAAAGCACAGTGTGGGACTGTTCTCCCAGGTACCAATGAGTTTTGTTGTCTCCAGAGTCAGCCTCTGGGCTCTGCTCTGTAGAGATATGAGGCAAATACGGTCTGGACCTGGATTCTTGGAAAGGAAGTCATCTTGCTTGACACAGGCATTCAACTGGTGTGGGCAGATAGTGAGCTTGTAGGGGCATATATGTGTCCTGTGTGGAACATGCCTGAGACATGCCCTGCATAGGAAAGGTTGATAGCCCAGCAGCCTGGTCAAGACCTGCCCACTTCAGCTTTTACCTGGTGACACTGTTAGATGATGATGAGAGATAAACAGGGCAGGTTATAAAAAAGCTCTGCCATGGAGTCCTGAGGTGTGCAAGTAAGTGAATTTGGCATGAGTTTAGAGTCGCTTTGCTGGTACTGCAAGAGGGCTTGTGAATAGCCCATGCTCCTGGGGGTGATGTGCATGCAACTGGGACAGTCTGGACATTCTCAGAGGGCTTCTTATGTCCACACGGACTGGGTACTGTGTCATAGGTGACCTCCAGAGCAACACAACAGAGCAGAGGAGTTGTGACTTATTATTATCTCCAATTATTTAAGATACTATCAAAATCAGCCTTT